ACTGGAATGCTTAGCGTGTGGACCCAGCCCTTTCTGGGCTTCAGGTCCCTGCCTGTAAAGCGGGCCACCTCACTGAGGCTGCCAGGAGTTGGATGCACAAACCGCCTGTCCTGCAGCCAGAAGTTGCCCAACGTGTTGTGTTTTTCTTTCACTCTCCCCCAAATCAGAGTGAGGGGCCGGCAAGGAGGGGAGGTGGTGAGTGGAGCGGGGGGGGGGGAGCTCTGGCTCTGCCTCTGGAGCCCCCAGGGCCAGCTGCCTCTGGGGGCCTCTGTGCTTCTGGGCTGGGAAGAGAGCGTGGGGTGAAGGGAGTGAGGAGTCCTGGGCAGGTGCAGCCCCGTGCCCGGAGCCCCAGCGCCCGGAGCCCCAGCGCCCAGGAGGAGTTCCCAGCCCGCCCTTAGCTCCAGGCCAAGTGCCCTCAGGGCCTCTGGCGCCCAGGCCCTCCGCTGCTCCTCTGAGCAATTACATAATGAAGCCTGGGTGCGCGGCTGCGGAGCCGCCTTTGTTATTGCAATCAGCCTCGGCAGCGGCAGCCCTCGAGTATTAATAAACCGATGATCACTCACAGTGCCAGGCTAGGCTTTATTTATGTAGATTTGGATTGGGGTACCTCTGAGGGAATCATAAACAGACACACAGGCCTCCTCTCCCGGCCTCTTCTCCCGGGAGGGAGGAAGGGAGCCGGCCCCTCAGCACTGAGCCCCCCTCTTCCCCACCCAGTCCGAAGTCTGATCTTGAGATCGCAAACAAAAATACTCCTGCCCTTGCAGCTCGGTTGGTCGGAGCGTCATCCCTACACCAGTCAGGGCACATTCCCCAGGGACACTCATTACCCTCACCGGGCAAATGGGCAAAACAAAGTGTCCAGTGTCCTTTCACAACTAGGAATCTGCTTCAGGAACTCTACATGGTTCTCAAACCTCAGCTCCTTTGGGAATCTCCGGGGGCTGGAGAAATGCAGGCTGCTGCCCAGCCCCTCCCTGTCCCTGCGGGTTCCCATTCGGTGGTGTGAAGCAGGACTGAGACGTTGCGTTTCTAACACAGGCCCTGTGAGCACATGGTGAGAACCACTGCTCCAAGGCGATTTTATGAATTAGAATCTGTTGGCACAGGGGACGCTCAGCACTTTGAATCTGGACCCAGCCTGAGGCTCCTGTTGGTTTGGCAGAAGTGTCAACGTGCCGACAAGGAATAATCCATACTCCATCCTGCCTGAGTCCTGGGAGCTTCCCCCTTCATAGCACAGAGCCACAGGTGTCCTGGGCCTAGGGTTCAAGGTCCTCAGACATGTCCCCCACCCACAGCTGGTGGAGGATGGTGTTCCTGCAGGAAGCCACGTGCACTCCCCTCCACCCCACTCCACGTTCATTCACTGAGTCAATGAACAATTACTGAGCCTTTCTGGCGAGCCAGGCCCTAAGCTCAGGACGTACATGTAGAGTCTCACTTAATCCTCCAAGTACCCTGTGAGTCATCACAGTTTCCCTCTTTCCGTTTGACAGATGAAGAAACGGAGGCTCAGAGAGGCCGAGAAACTTGCCTGAGGCCAGAGAGGAAGTTAGGGAGGACTCGGCCCTTGGCCCTAAACCCCAGGAGGTCTGACTCCCAAGTCCTGCTCTCACCTGTCCCCTTAAGTTTCACTCTGCTGGATGCAGAAAAGGGCGCACGGTGGCCCTCTGGCTCCAGAGCTGTCACATCCTTCCTTTGGGAAAGGCTGGACCCCATCCTGCTGTCTGCCCCCGCAGGTGAGGAGCTGCTTGGCATTCCATAGCAGCAGCAGCAGCAGCAGCAGCAGCGGGAGAAGGGTTCCCAGGAGGGGGAGTGGCCTGGCGGAAGAGGGTGGAGGGGAGGCCTGTCTCAGAGTTCCTGAGCTCCCAGCTGCTTCTCCCAGGCCCCAAGGCTTTGCTCAGCCTGGGACCACCGGGGTGGAGCGGAAAGCCCCAGAGGTCTTAGCAGGGAAGGAAGCTCTAGAGGAACTGAGGGGAACCAGGGAGAGAAACCGGTGGGAAGGATGAGTGCCCAGCCCCTCTGCCTCATTCCTTGGGACAGTGGCCTTTTCGTCCTGGGCCAAAATGGTGCTCCTTGCGGCAGCTTCACCCACCCTGGCCTGACAACCCCAGAGCCGCCTTTCACAGTTTACAAAGCACCAGCACCCCTGTGGCCCTCTCCCTCCCTCCTCCTCTGGCTGCCCGTTAATAAGACCAGCAACAATCATTTACTACGTGTCTGCTCCTTGCTTTACATGCATCCACGCTGTTAAACTCCCAATAAGCCCAGGAGGTAGGCACTGATATCTCCATTTCACAGAGCAGGAAACTGAGGCTCAGAGAAATGAAAGCACTGGCCCATGGTCCCATAACTAGGATTTGAACCCAGGTCCATCAGCTCCAAAACCTCTGGGCTCAATCACAAGGACCTCTGCCAACATCCTCTTCCAGTATGTTCTCCTCCTCCCCCACCCCCCACCCCCACATCCCCATGGAGGGGTCGCTGCTGAGACCTCTCTCCAGGCTCTATCCCTAAGACCAGGCCCAACCCCTCCCCCTCACCTCTCTCCTCCACCACCCAGGTTCTGAAACTAGGCCCAAAGCCTGCATCTTTTTTTTAAAATATATTTTTATTGATTTCAGAGAGGAAGGGAGAGGGAGAGAGATAGAAACATCAACGATGAGAGAATCAGTGTTTGGCTACCTCCTGCATGCCCCACACTGGGGATCGAGCCCGCAACCTGGGCATGTGCTCTGACCAGAATCCAACCATGACCTCCTGGTCGATGCCTAACCACTGAGCCACACCTGCTGGGCAAACCAGCATCTTTAAAATCCAACTGCATTTGTATTCTTCCTGGGGCAATTCACAATCCACAAGTGATTTCTGGTGCGGACAATGACATTCCTTGTGCCCATGCCATCGCCAGCACCCACCTGCACAGGCCCACACAGACACACAGGCTCGCTCACTCACACCCAGGCGCCAAGGTGCCGCCGCCCCTGCCCCTGCAGGGCAGAGGGAAGCCCAGCTGCTCCCCGGGGGAGGAAAGTGACCCTCCCCCAGCTGGCCTTCCTGGCACCATCCCCCTTTTATCTCTCTTTTGAGGGAAAGATTTCATAATAATGAGAATCACAATAATAATGAGAATCACAGGAATCAGCCTTCCCAGCTTACAAACCCTTTTCATCTAATTGCCTCACTTGACTCTCCCAAGCTCTGGGAGGCAGGTGTTTTTATATTTCCATGTTGCAAGTGCAGCAGAGGGCCCCGTCGCCAGTTAGGAGCAGAGCCAGGGCCCTAACTCCCTTCTCACACCCTCAGCTCCTTCTCGTGCATCATAATGACAGCTCATTGTTACCAGGCACTGAGAACCTATTCTCGCTTAGATTTGGCTGCGCTTTATGAATGCCAGTTTTAATCCACACAATAGCCCAGCGAGGTGAACTTTTTAATGCTCAAGGTAAAGATGAGGTAACTCGGGAAAGTTAAGGGCAGAATGGCAGTCTAAGGAATGTTCCCGAACTAGATGCACATCACTTTGGACAAGTGTGGGAAGGAAGAGAACAGAGCTTCTATGGGAGCTTTAGGGAAAGTGGATGCTGGGGATGGGGGTGGGGGGCGGGGGTGGTGGTAATGAATAGTCTCTTCCTTCTACTCTGGCCCTCCAATTACACTTTGCCTGTAATTGTGAACTGTGTCATTTACTGCTGTCTCTCTGTGCCTAAGGCCACAGTCACCAAGAGGCTGGGCCTGGATTTGAACCTGGCAGTCTGGTTCCAGAGCGCACGTGATTAACCTTTAAGGAACTAGTGCAGAAAGAACTCAGACCTGCAGTCAAAATGCCCAGCTAGCTAGACGCCTGGGGCACCACCGCTCACCTCTCTCTGCCCCATTGACTTGTCTTGTGAAATGGAGCATGTCATCAACCTTGCCTTCCTCTGCCCTCCCTCCCCCCTCACCCCCCTCTACTCCCCTCCACCCCCCTCATCCCCCTCTACTTCCCTCCCACACATTTGTGACCATCAGACAAGATGAAGAGAGGTAGGCTGTTTTCTAAGGAGGGTGCAGGCAGGGTGTTGGGAGTTGGGGTGAGCACACGACTGGTCACCGAAGGTTGAAATGAGTCCAGAATCTGGGGGGAAGGGTGTTGCTTATAGGAGCCTGGTTCTTTAGGCTGGAAGGCTCCCAAAGAGCCTCCAGGGCCCCCAAGCCCCATTTCACCCCCCTGTAGTCTGACAACTGAGCATCCCTACCCGCTCCACATGTCTGGGAGCCCCAGATAAGATCTTAGGCATGACAGTGTGTGTGTGTGTGTGTGTGTGTGTGTGTGTGTGTGATCATGTTATTTGATAAAGTCACACCAAGCGGGAGGGGGGTGGGGGGGAGGGGGGCGAAGACTGGGCCTAGGCTGGAAGCCAGAAGGCTAAATGAAATCAAACATTAATGACAGCCATCTGTAAAATGGGACTGAACGCCCGGACCTCATAGGTGGCTGTGAGAATCAAATGAGTTGATGCCCATAACACCTTGAGCTCAGTGCGTGGCGCTGATGGGCTGGCAGACAGTGACCATTATAACTGTGCTACTTACTACACACTTGGTATCTAGCAGCCAAGCAGTCCTTTCCATTGTAGACACCGGCCTAGGCTCCAGGGAGCACCCCAAGATTATCTAAGACAGTGTGGTTTGCCGACCTATGGGGTTGTTGATGGTCTCCCCAAAAGGGCGCAGTCTTCATAACTTGCCAAGAAAGTCATCCCGGCCAGGCGGCGCGGGGCCTGGGTTTTGATTCCCAAGCGTCTTCTCCCCGGGCGTGAGCGCGCCCCCGGGCGGCGTTTTCCAGGAAAGCCTCCGCTGGGGAGCCCGGAACCCAGTCCCCCCAACGTCGTCCTCCCGCCCGCCCCGGCGGCCACCCTGGGGGCGCGGCAGCCCGGTGCGTGGGAGGGGACGGCGCGCCATTGGCTTCAGCGCGGCACTGAGAGGAGGGACCAGCGCGGGCCTCCAGACTCCGGCAAACCCCAGCCGCGCGGGTGCCGCTCGCAGTCCAGCCCGGCCCTGCCCTGCCCTGCCCTGCCCGGCGTGATGTGAGCGCCCGAGGGCCCCCTGCACGCCCGTTTCCCGAAGCCGGCCCCGGCACGCGCTGGGAACGTAAGTTCTGCTCCCCGCCGCCGCTCGGCGCCTCGCACTTTGCCCCTCTCGCCGCCCGCCGGCCGGTGCCTGCGCAGCTCAGCGGTGCTCCTGCGGCCGCGGGGACCGCTGGGGGCAGTGAGCGGGGCGCCCCGGGACCTCTAGGCACCGGCGGATTCGGCCGGGACCCCGGGGATCCTCTCCCTGGCTCTCCAAGGCGCCACCCCGCAGCCCTTCTGCTCCTTTCCTCTGCGCTCTCGGCTCGCTGCCCTTCCCTCTGATCGGTTTCCCTCTCCTCAGCTTTGTCCCTCCGCTCTTTGCTCTCCTGGACTGTTTATTTCGCCCTCAGCCTCCCGTCCCGGGCTCTCGCTCTGGCTTCGGAGCCAGAGAGGAACGGAGCGAACAGCAGTTTTCCTCTCGCTGGAGTCAGACTCTGCCCTCGCGCGCAGGTCTCTGTCCCCTCCCCCTCCATCTCTGCCCCCATCCCCAACCTGCCATTGTTCCCGGGTCCGGGGAGCGCGCGGCAAAAACTTGCGAATCCCCCTCCTCCCCTCTTCGCCTCGGCAGGGCCCCGGAAGGAGATGGCAGAGTTCCCGCAGCCCACAAGTCGGGCTCTACCTCTGGTTCAGGGGCCGTGGGAGCGGGGATCCTGGGCCAGAGGACCCGGAGGCGCCCACAGCCCGGAGCTCCCCGCCTGGAGTCTTGCAAAGTGGGTGACTGGCTGGAGCTGGGAGATAAAGGACACCTGGGAGGGGGCGAGGAGCAAGGCTGTAAAGGATCCCAGTGTCCAGACTGGGGTTGGGGGGCCGTGGGTGGGCGAAGCTGGCAGAAACGGAACCCCTGCCTCAGCCCCAGTTATTGGGGGCGGGGTGGAGCAGGCACAGGTGGAGACCAGCGGGCCTCCCCCACCCCCCTCCGAGTCGCGAGCTCAGCTGGAAGGGGGCAGTGTGGGGCCTTGGGCTTGGCGCTGGGTGGATGGGTCCCCGGCTGTATGTCGGCAAAAAAGCTCGCACCTATGCTGCGCGTCTGTGGAGGAACCCCCTGGGACGCCGCGCCCATCCCCAGCGCGCCTAGCGGAGCCTGGCTTTCGCTTTGGGTCCCCTCGCTCCACTCTCCACGCCCCCAACCAGTGCCGGGTTCCACGCCTGCCTCCTTGCCTCCCTAGGGGGGCGTATTTCTCGGTTGGATCGGAGCGCTGGGGGCGGGGCAGGAGCGTGGCGGAGGCCGTTAAGTCCGTGGTTCCTCGGGAACCAAGGCTGCCTCCCCGCTCCACCGCCCCAGCCCCACCGCTGTGCACTTCCTGGTTGATTTCCTTTAGACAAACTTTTCCTGATGGGGCTGTCTAGCGGGATGAAGGCCCGGGGCTGCAGGAATGCTCACCCCAACTCTGTGGCCTCTTGGACCTTCGCCCCTGGAGGCCTGTGGAGGAGGGGCGTCCACAACCCTCTCATCCTGCAGCCTTCAAATCCCAGGGACACTGCGGGTGGGATGGGTGGTTGTTGGAGAGACAGGAGGAAGCACTAGCCATACCTTAGAAGCTCCACACTCAGACCAGGAGAAGGAAAGGTTTTTCTTGTGGGGTTGTTAGGAGATAAGGTACTGGGTCTTCTCCAGGCCTCTGTGATCCCGTCTGAGAAATGGGTCCCCGAGGTACCCTCTGCCCCCAATATCCTGGCAGCCAGCTGCCCTGGCTTCTCCTTTTCAGACCACATGCTGTCAGCTTAATCAGTCCTCCCAAATTCAGAGTGAAGGGCTGAGGCCCAAAGCCCTTCACCCGGATCTGGATGTCAACACCAGCTGTGGCCCACTGCTCAAGTCTGTTCTCTGCAGGAGCCCCCCGCCCTCCCCCCCTGCTCTCAGGCCCCCTGCAGCTTCTCCCAGCCCACGCTCAGCTGCTTCCTCTCCCCCAAGATCTCACGATAGCAATCCCCACATCCTCCCAGTGCAATCATATCCCACACGTCCCTGGACCGATCTGTGCTTTCACTCATTGAAGAAAACGTGAGCTGTACACCAACAATGGTTTAATGAACAAAGCGCCGCACTGGGAGATAGCTGGGAACAAAATAAAGATTCTTGCCTTCTTGGAACTGACACTTAAGGGGCAAATAACTAACAAAATCAACAGTGTATTGGGAGGTGAAGGGGAAAAGTTGAGTGTTGGGCCAGGGATGGGATTGTTCATTTAAGTAGGGTGGTCAGGGAGGCCCCCCTGAGGAGGTGACTTTTGAGGTCAGGCTTTGAGGGAGTGAGCTGTGGGGATATCTTTGGGAAGGAAAGATCCTGCAGAGAGCAGCCTGTGCTGAGGTTCTGAGGCTGGAATGTGCCTGCTGTATTTGAGGAGCCAGTGCAGCCAGTGGGGACGAGACAGGAGACAGGAGGCAAAGCTGGCTGAGAAGGGATGGAGCCTGCCCATTTCACAGAGGAGGGAAGTGATGCCCCGAAACAGCATGGACGTCACTCCAGGACATGCAGTCCAGGAGCGGCAGCTGCAGGAGGGCGGGGGAGGGGGGGGGCGTGCCTGATATTCTGACTCTGGGCTACAATACTTTCCCTTCATTCTGCACCTCAACCATTCATCCGCAGCCCTGGTTGTGCCCCTCCCAGGGCCAGAGCTGGCCACGTGCCAGGGACCTGGAGGGGAGCCACCCAGGCTCAGTACCCAAGGGGCTCCATATCTCTGCAACCTGTTGTCAGTTCCCTGTCCACCTGTTGTCAGTGCACTCAGGGCAGCATCTTCCTGCTGACCCAGAGTTCTCTCTCTTCCCATTTCCTTCCCACGGCCACCCCCTTGTAAGTGCCCCACTCTGTGGTTAGTGATGATGGAGTCTCTGGGGGGTGCCTGTCCTGAAGCTGGTAAGGTCAAGGGGGAATCTGAAGCAAGGGACTGAGTCTCCTAGTCTGAGAATAACAACAGCAACATTACTGTTGAGCGTTCACTATGAAACAGGTACTGTGCTTTTCTAGGTGTTTCGTGTGTATTTTTTCACAGGTGTCATTATTACACCTGCTTAACAGATGAGAAACTGAGGCTCAGAGAGGTGGTGTCACTGGCCCAAGGCCATGCAGCTAATCTATATATGTAAAAGCCAAGCGACCTGAATGACGGGAATCACAGTCGCTATGACGCACACTGTGGCTGGCCAACCGGCCTGATCAGGGGCAGGGGTGACCGGCCAACCTCCTGCAGCCCCTCCCCCCGATGGCCTCAATTGGGGTGGGCTGGCGGGTCCCCGCCCATGCACAAACTCGTGCTCCGGGCCTCTAGTAAGTGAAAAGCACAGACCTTTTTAGTTGTGACCTCTTTTAATTACTAAGCCAGGGCCCCAAACCCCGGGGGAGATGTCATTCCTGGACCGTGGTTCTGGCCCATCTGCGTCCAGGGAAAAGTATAGGGACCCTTCTGCCTGCCTCCTCCAACTCACCAGAAGGCATTTGCTTCTGAAAAAGTTGACTCAAAATGGTGCAGCCTCCCTTCAAGGAAACTTCCCTCCTCCCCTCCTCCCTCTCTGAGTTCCTGAGTAGCTAGGGGGGCGGGGGGAGGTGGGAGGGGTGGGAGGCGAGAAGGATGTGTCCGCTGCCTTCTCAGAGGAGCTCTGGCTGCAGGGAATCCAGGAACCAGGCTCTCCCAATGACCTCGGTCCCGTGGGATCCTGAAGCACCAGCTGCCTCTGAGCGTCCTGACATGGTCCCTGGAAAGGACAGGAATTCTCCATGTGCCCTGTCTGCCCTTTGTGAGTGACAGCAGGGCCAGGGAAAAACCCTCTCAGTGACTTCTGAGTGGTGACAGACAGCGAGACCCCGCCCCCCTGCACACAGCAGCAGCTTCAGACCCCAGGTCAAGGCCCCCAGGGATGCACCCTCTGGGCCCTCTGTCCTGCCCGCCCTCCCCGCTCTGCAGCTCAGCAGGCGATGTTTACTTTCTGTCCCTGAAACTTTGCAGATATTTGTTTGTGATGGGAGTTTGGGCTTTCCTCTGCCTTTCTGGAGATGAGGCACCTTCAAAACAAGAGAACTAGTGGCGGGACCTGGAGGCCCGGCAGCTGGCGTGTGGCTAGTGGATGGCAGGGTTTGGAAGCCAGATCCTGCATGTCACAGCCGGGAGGGGCCCTAGGGACCACACTCCCATATTTTCACATGAGGAAACTGAGTCCCAGAGTCTGGCCCTGTGGCAGAATCGGCCGGTGGCCTCAGCTGACTTGTCTCAGCCCCGTGGCTCGGGCTCCCCCACCAGCCTTCCAGCTTCAGTGGGAGCCCTCTGCTGCCAGCTCGCGCTCCTGGAGGCTCGTGGAAATGGAGCGTGGGATCCCTCTCTTGACTACGGAGCTTTGTCGTGGGAACCGGGCTTGTTGCCACAGCAGGATTCGAATCATGCTCCCTCCTCCCCCTGCCAGTTCTACTCTGTCATCCTCGCCCTTTGCAGCAGCGTGGACCCTGAGCTGAGCCCGCGCTGACGGTGACGGTGACAGAGATGGATGATACAGCCTGGCTCACCGGCTCCTTGAGAGACCAGGCTGACTAAGGCTGGCCCAGCCTTTAGATTCTAAAGTTTAGAATAATTATGCTTTCCGGGGGACATGCAGCAAGGGAGCCCTGCCACATGGCAGCCTGGCCTCGGCTTCCTCCCTTAGCCAGTGGGCCCTGAGACACCCCCGCCCCCCCCGCAACCCGCACCCAGAGACCACTGTTATGCAGCTGTGTCCATCCGGCCTCCCTTGTGTCCTGTAACTTCCTAGTTTAGCTCTAACCCACCTGTGACCTAGTAAGTCGGGCATTGTCACCCCCATTTAGAAGTAAGGAATGGAGAGGTTCAAATGCCCAGCCAAGATGTGAACACAGGTCCCTTCCCCCCCTCCCAAGATTCACTGCCTGGGGGCCCAGGTCGTGGGTTCTGGGCTGGGGGCCTTTAAACTCCATCTTGCCCAAAGGAGTGATGGGCTGCCCCAGACAGGGACCCAGGGTGGATGGTGTGGCTCTGGCCCCTGGCTTGTGCTCTGTGCCTCCCTTTCTCTCTGGCCAGG